ATCCACAGGATTGCCATGAGTTGAATAACAACAGATTTTAAATTATTTCCTTCTGTGAGCTGCCTTGGGAGAAAAGAGGCATCTAAAACAAACAAATAAACAGATAAATAAATATATGTTTTTCATGGCTAGATCAGGAAGTGATATTGTTTTTTTCAGAGAAAGAAACCAGTATAAAAAAATAAAAATAAAATCTGAAGTGTGGCCTAGGTAAACAGGAACAGAGACCCATTATAGGAATTCAGGAAAGTAGAGTTTTATTTGTTTAACGTTGACGGGTCTCTGACAGAGAATGACCCCTCCCCTTGCTAATCAACATCCTTATATACCATCTTACACAGCTAGTTTATAATTATATTAAACATGGATAATACAACATTTTCATTGGTTACAAGATATAACTCCAAATCCCCTCCTTTCCCTATTATGGTATACTTTTCTTGCTATGCATGAACGAATCCGGGTTTCTTTCTCAGGCTGTAAAACTTCCTCAGCCTACCTTCAAGGTAAAATAAACAAAATTCCTCTGTTAACATTTCTTTGTTATCAGTGAAACAGAGCTGAAAAAGTATTTTACAAACTGCCTTGCAATTGCACAATTTTAAACATAGAAAAATAAATAATAATAATAATAATAATAATAATAATAAAAAAATTTATTTCTATCCCGCCCTTTGGGAAAACCCAATCAGGGCGGCTTACAACAGTAAAACAGTATACAGTACATAAAATCCGAAAATTATTCCCTCCCCCCTTAAAACAGTATTAAATCTAAATGAATTAAAATTACAATAGTAGTTAAAACCAATTCCAATAGTTAAAACCAAAAAACTAACTGCTAAAAAAAAAGAGATCCCAAGGGTCATCCAATCCAGCCCCAAAGAATTAGCCATGAACTTTGTAGTCTCTTCCACATTTTTTTTCATCTTTTACAGTCTGAGTGTTGGACTCTGACTCTGGAGACCAGGCTTCGATTCCCAGCTCGGCCATGGAAACCCACTGGGTGACCTTGGAGGAGTCACACTCTCTCAGCCTCAGGGGAAGAAGGCCATGGCTAATCTCCTCTGAACAAATCTTGCTAAGAAAACCGCATGATGGTTCGCCTCAGGGTCGCCATTTCAGGGTCGGAAACGACTGGAAGGCACACAACACACACACAGACCGCCCCGACGTCGGTCCAAACCACAATGCAGGAATAATAATCCAGTTTGAGACCACTTTAACTGCCCTGGCTCAGTGCTAGGGAATCCTGGGAATTGTAGTTTTGTGAGACATCTCTGTCAGAGAGAGATCTGGTGCCACAATAAACTACAGAGCCGGATCAGTGTTAAAGTGGTCTCGAACTGGATTATTTCTGCTATGTGTGTATGAATTCTACTTTAACTGCCAAGGCAACATCTTGTGGAGTCCTTAACATTGAGCCAGGACAGGTAAAGCGACCTCTCAAACTGGATTATTATTTCTGCAGTGTGTCTTTTGGACCGCCGTCGCTGGACAAATCCCACCTCCCTCAGGGGTGTTGCGTGTGAGGTAAAGACTACACTTCCCACCATGCCTTGCGCCCGAGAGGCGAGGGACGGGGCCTTTAATGGGCGCCTCTTGCATCCTGGGAATTGTAGTCTTGGGAAAGCAAAGGAAGGGAGGGTTGGACGGTGTTTGTGAGGCGAGGAAGCTGGGCAGGAGGGCAACAGGTGCCTGAGGCAGAAGGGCGGCATGGACAAGCTGAAGCGGGTTTTGAACGGCCGGGACGCCGAGGACCCGGGCCCCCTGGCTGAGGTAAACGCCGAGGTAGAAGCGGGGAAGGGGAAGGTGGGACGGGGGCCAACGGCGAAGGCATTCCCCAGCTTTGGTCCAAGGTGGCTGGGCTGGACTTTCCCCTTTGCCTCGGCTCTTCTCGGCTTCCTTCAGCCCACGCAAACTTCGACGGCCGCCACACGTTTGGCATGTTTCGTCCGCGTTTCACACTTCGCTGGCTTCTTCCACACAAACGACTTACGTGGGGTGGTTGCTGTTGTTGTATGCCTTCAAGTCGTTTCCGCCTTATGGCGACTCTCAGGCGAAGAAGCTATCGTGAGGTTTTCTTGGCAGGTTTCTCCAGAGGGGGTTTGCCATTGCCACCCTCTGAGGCTGAGAGAGTGTTTTCTTGGCAGGTTTCTTCAGAGGATCTTATTTTTGTCCTTGCCTCCATCTGAGGCTGAGAGAGTGTTTTCAGAGGTTTGTTTTGGTCATTGCCATCCTCTGAGGCTGAGAAAGTGTTTTCTCGGCATGTTTCTTCAGAGGTTTTTTTTTGCCTTTGCCTCCATTTGAGGCTGAGAGAGTGTTTTCAGAGGTTTGCTTTGGTCACTGCCATCCTCTGAGGCTGAGAAAGTGTTTTCTTGGCATGTTTCTTCAGAGGTTTTTTTTTGCCTTTGCCTCCATCTGAGGCTGAGAGAGTATTTTCAGAGGTTTGTTTTGGTCATTACCATCCTCTGAGGCTGAGAAAGTGTTTTCTTGGCATGTTTCTTCAGAGGGTTGTTTTTTGTCCTTGCCTCCATCTGAGGCTGAGAGAGTGTTTTCAGAGGGTTTTTTTGGCTATTGCCACCTTCTGAGGCCGAGAGAGTGTTTTCAGAGGATTGTTTTGGTCATTACCATCCTCTGAGGCTGAGAAAGTGTTTTCTTGGCATGTTTCTTCAGAGGTTTTTTTTCGTCCTTGCCTCCATCTGAGGCTGAGAGAGTGTTTTCAGAGGTTTGTTTTGGTCATTATCATCCTCTGAGGCTGAGAAAGTGTTTTCTTGGCATGTTTCTTCAGAGGGGTTTTTTTTTTTTTTTGGCCATCGTCATCCTCTGAAACTGAGAGAGTGTTTTCAGAAGGTTTTTTTGGCTATTAATCACCTTCTGAGGCCGAGAGAGTGTTTTCATCATTGCCATCCTCTGAGACTGAGAATGTGTGTGTTTTTTTGTCATGTTTCCTCAGAGGGTTTTTTTTGGCCATTGCCATCCTCTGAAGCTGAGAAAGTGTTTTCAGAGGTTTTTTTTTTGGCATTGCCACCCTATGAGGCTGAGAGAGAGTTTTCTTGGCATGTTTCTTCAGAGGCTTTTTTTGTCATTGCCACCTTCTGAAGCTGAGAGAGTGTGATTTGCCCAAGGTCACCCAGTGGGTTTCTGAGGCAAAGCTGGGTTTCGAACCCTGGCCTCCAGAGGTTGCTGTAGTCGAACGCTCAAACTAGTTCACCAATAAATACATTTATATAGTTACACAGAAACCTTTCTAAAGATTAAGGGAGCTGAATTATAAGTTTAAAAATCCAAATTTCACCATTGCCTTCTAAGATTGAGATAGTGTGACTTGTCCAAGGTCCATGGTTTACATGGCTGAACCTGGATTTGAACCCTGGTCTCCATAAATCTGTAAATACATTTCTATATTTACAGAGGCACATTTCTAAAGATTAAGAGAAGGGGATAATAAAGTTAAAAACCCAAATTTCACCATTGCCTTCCTCTGAGGATGATAGAGTACAACTTGCCCAATATCACCCAGTGGGTTTATATTGTTGAACCCAGATTCAAACCCTGGTGTCCAGAGTCTAGTCCTGCCCTCAAACTGCTACAGTATGCTGGCCTCTCTATGTGAGTTTCCTGTCCCTTTTTACAGGGGTTCTCAACCAGGGATTTTATTTTTATTCTTTCGGGCTCTAGTTCCCCTAATCCCACACATTTGGGAGTTGAAGTCCAACAACAACTGGACCCTGCCCTCCCCTCGATTTGAAAGCCACTGGTGGATCATTGAACCCATCATTCACCCCTTGAGCTTCCTGTGCCACATTGTAGACCTTAAGGATGCATCCGTACTGTAGAAATAATGTAGTTTGACACCACATTAACTGCTAGAGCTCCATCCTACAGAATCGTGGGGTTTGTGTTTTTGTGAAGGACCAGCGCTCTTTGGCAGAGAAGGTTAAAGACCTTGCAAAACTACAAATCCCAGAACTCCATAGGATTGAGTTGCAGCACTTAAAAGTCATGTGAAACTCCATTATTTGTACAGTGTCGATACTCCCATTTCCTCACCTTGTGTCCAAATACAGTTTTTTTTTTACTATTTTATTTGATCCTGCCAATAATTTTTAGCCCCTGAGATCATAGGTGGAGAGAGGGACCGAAGAGTTTTTCAGAGCTTTGGATTTGTGTATTTACTTTTCTGTTAATAATCCTGAGAAAACTACTGGTTCAATTATGGGATTTGCAGTTGCTAAAATGGATTTGGAGCCACCCTTTGCATACAATTTAGGGGTGCTAAAAAGGAGCACAAAGCCAACCCTGGTGATGAGTGTGGCTGCATGGTTAAAGCAAAGTTTAGGTAAAAGGATTTAAATGGAAGAACAAGTCTTGATCTGGTTAGCTGTTTTACATGATTAACTGTGACTCTTATTTACTCTGTCTATGCTGTATTGATAGATGAGTGAAAAACAGCACAGCGTCTCAGAGGAGGAAAGCGGAAGAGAAAGTGTAAAAGTTGTTTACTGCCAAAGGCATCCTGGGAAGAATTACCAAGGCATAAATAAGGAGATGGAAAGCAAAATGCCACTGTCTTAAAGGTGTACTCTTAAGATAATTTAGTACTTTAGTTAAGCTTTGGCTGCAAGCTTTAATTGAATTAATATGTACATGGCTCAACTAATGCTTTGGTTAATCTGTTATTAGGGCCAGTGTTAATTGGAGAAATCCATACATCAAGGCTATTCTATTTCTCATTATTACTGTAGTGGGAGCTTAAAAAGAAGCTGCTTAAAGTAATCTTTCGTTCTAATGAAGAGCAATATCTAAAACAAAATCAGTGCAGAGATGTATCCTTTATCTTTAAACAGCAAACATATTAAATTGAATTGGTTGTGGTGTGCCTTCAAGTCATTTCATACTCATGGCAACCCAAACGTGAATCTGTTATGGGATTTTCGTGGCAAGATTTGTTCAGAAGAGGTTTGAGGCTAAGGTAGTGTGACTTTCCTAAGGCCATGCGATGTGTTTCCAAGGATTTGAACCTTGGTCTCCAGAGTTGTAGTTCAGCACTCAAGCCACTACCCCACACTCACTCTCAGTTTAACACAATGATGTAATTTTAGCTAGTGACTATATCCCATGGTGGCTTTGTGCTAGCAGAAAGCAACTAGGCCAATGCACCTGATTTTTACTGATATCTTTTTCCTATTTCAGTATTGCTCAGCATATCTAACCCTATTTCAGAGGGTACTGCAATCTTCAGGAGCTGCTTTGCTGAAGGGTTGCCATATTTTCCAAATAGGTCATAATCAACAGCTGGTATTCATTACATGCAATTACATGCATTGACAATCAGGAAGTAGCTATTACTATATTTGCTTTCTGCCTACATACTAAAGAAAGTATTGATTTCATTTCACTTAACCATGTATTTCTCTGTCAAATTATTATCCACATTCATATTCTACATGATGCACACATTACTGTCTTTATCAAGGATCCACACCCAGAAATGCAGATTTTTTTTTGACATCTCATTCAGTCAGTATAAAAAGAAAAACTTTCTGACCCTCAAATAGAGGACATAACTTATAATAAGGGTCACCTGCCAGCCCTCTAAGGGATAGTTTTTTTTTAACTTCATACACGGGATATTATAATAATAATAATAATAATAATAATAATAATAATAATAATAATAATAATAATAATAATAATTTTATTTATAGCCCGCCCCTCTGCGGAGCAATCGAGGCGGGTTACAACATTTAAAATACACAAGTTAAAAACATTCTATATACCTTATACAGGGAGACCTGGCAATCCTAGTAGGGAGTCATGTGAAAACAGATTCGCCTTGCATGAACAGAATTGTTTCCATTTAGGACTAGGCCACTGTTGGACACAGGCCATTGACATTTACTGATTCCCCAAGCAATCTCACTGTAATTATGTTATATATAGGGTTTGTTTTGCTGCTGTTTTTGGGATGTTGGGGTGGGAGATGAAGAAAGTCATAGATGCTCCATGGGTTTCATCCATAGCATTGTATATGCTAATCCAATTTGGCACTAGTGGTGTGATATTCCATCCCCATAGAAAGAGTATTGATGTTGCCCTGCATAAATAGTCATTTGTGTTCTAAGTGCATTGATTTTGTTTTGTAAACAGAGCTAAAGGAATGTTCTATGTTGTTGGTTTTAAACTACGGAGAAGTGTAATAACTGTAAAGGAAGCCTCATTTAAATTTTAGAACACCTTAAAAAGCCTTTTTAAACTTTGGAAAAGAGAGATACCTATATTGTGTGTGTGTGTGTGTGTTTTTTAAGAGCACAGGAGGAGTAATTGTAATATAAAGCTGGTAAAATGGGATGGTCATGATTATTATTGAGGGTGAATTGTTGCTATTCCTACAGATATGTGGTACAACCAGAATGCTGTGGAGCATCTGCAATAGCAATGAATGTTTTGTTTGAAATAGGAATTGCAAATTTGTGCTGGGAAAACTTCATATCTGTGCAGCACAAACTAACACCTTGAGGGGATATTTCGGGAAAGGCTGAGTTATTAACCTGGTATCCTTATGTGACTAGGAGTCTGAGCTACTAAACCAAGAAACCATTGCCATGAACGAAGGGCCATTACAGACTGCCAGAAATAATGCAGCTGGAGGCCACTTTAACTGTCCTGGCTCACTGCTAGGGAATCATGGGAATTGTATTTTTTTCTGGGACATTGAGAGCTCTGGTGCCACAATAAGCTACAGTTCCCATGATTCCTTAGCACTGAGCCAGGACAGTTAAATTGGCCTTAAGCTGCATTATTTCTGGCAGTCTGTAAAGGCCCTAATAAGGCCATAGGCAAACCTCAGTCACTCCACCTGCAATATGAATAATAATCATACTTTATAGAGCTGTTTGTAAGGATTCCAACTAGGACTGCAGAAAAAATGCAGTTTGACAGTGCTTTAACTGCCATGGCTCCATGCTATGGAATCCTGGGATTTGTAGGTTGTTTTGACACCAGAGGTTTCTGACAGAATACTAAATATCACAAAACTATAAATCCCAGAATTGCATAGCATGGAGCCATGGCAATAAGTGATGTCAAACCGTGTTATTTCTACATTGCAGATTCATCCTAGGTATATGAATTGCTTTAATCACATGGAAATGCTGTACAAAAATGTTAGTTATTATTATGAACTTAATAATAAAACAAGCATCAGAATATTACATAATTTTTGTAGTTTAATTGTGTTATGGTTGATCTCAACCTATGGCGGCCCAGTGGAATAGACATCTCCAAGACCCTTTGTCCTCCACTGCTCTGCTTAATTTCTGCAAGCCCTTAATACCTGTGACCTCCTTAATAGAGTCCATCCATCTGGCATGTGGCCTTCCTCTCTTCCTCCTTCCCTCCACCTTCCCCAGTATTATTGTTTTTTCCAAAGAGTCCTCCCTTCTCATGATGTGTCCAAAGTACAATAGCCTCAGTTTGGTCATCTTGGCTTCCAGGGAGGTTTCCAGCTTGATCTGTTCTAGGACCCACTTGTTTGTCCTTTTGGCTGTCCATGGGATCCTCAGCACTCTTCTCCAGCACCATATCTCAAATGAATTGATTTTCTTCCTATCATCTTTCTTAACTGTCCAGCTCTTACATCCATACATGGTAATAGGGTTGATGGTAATACAATCATGGCTTGTATGATTCCAACTTTTGTTCTGAGTTGTATATCTTTGCATTTTAGAATCTTTTCTAGTTCTTTCATAGCCACTCTCCCCATTTTTAGTCTTCTTCTGATTTCCTGACTGCTGTCCCTATTTCTATCAATGTTTATACCTACACTGATTTACACTTACAAGTTAATAGTCTTGTACTTTTATAACAAAAGTTGTAAGACATAACTAAATTGATGCAGGAAACACCAATTTAAAACATATTTAATGTTCTTGGCAGATTTTATTATTTAGGAACTTTTCTGTTATTTTATTTTGTAATTCAAAATTATTTTTAGGTTATCCTTAGGATAAAACCCTCACAAGGGTGTGTGCAAGATAAGAAAAAAGACAAAATACTTGCATATAATAGCATTTCAGAAACTGTACTTGCCGCATTACCTCTTGTGTTTTGCTTCTTTGGTATAAATGAACTAATTTTGGCCACAAGGCAGATAGGGTAGCTTTGCATGCTATTTTTTTAAATGTTTCTAATAGCCCCAACATAGTGGTAGAACTCAAAGACAGCTCTGTTAGTCTTATAAAATTAACAGCACTGTGTTCTATTAATATATGCAATTTTGTTTCTCTGAAGAGTCAGAAGGCCTGTTAGGAATGTTAAACAATTTAAATGTGCCCTACCTTTTTTTTTTAAAGTTCCCACTCCCCTAATTTTAAGTGTATCATTGCTGAAATTTTAAATACACAAAAGGATAGAAGTTTGTTAATTTTATAACATTGGCTAAACTGATACAAATCAGCTTTTATTAAATGAACATCATTTTTGAACTACTGGTAAGTGTTTACATGAGACGCTCACAAAGCTGTTTTCAAACGGAAATGGAAAATTCTGTTCTGTTCTGGTTCGGGCACTGTTGAAACCAATGAGCATGTTCTCCTTTACTGTCAGTTTTATAGGGATGCCCGTCACCAACAGATTAGCCCACTATTGAGTAAATTCCCAGGTAAATCCGATTCTTTTTATTTACGCCTCCTATTAGACAACAACGACCCTACAGTATCCCATACGGTGGCCAAATTTTGTTACATTGTCTGTAAACTGCGCCCCCAATTGACAAATGGACATCTTATTATTGTGTAGAAAGATTTGGTTGGATATTGTACCTATATAGTTTATTTTTAGTTTGTATATTAACTTGCTGTTCATATTTTTATATTTTTATACTGGTCAAAGACCGAATAAATTGAATTGAATTGAACTGTTCTGTTCTGATTTGATGTACTGGAGAACAGCTAATAAATCAGGAAACCTAGGTGACTTTAAAAGAATGGATGAAAACAACTAGTTCTATATTGGATCATGCAATGATATTTGCCTTCTAAAATTTTGATAGTTAAATTTTAATAAGGATTTTTAAAAACATTTCCAGGTGGTGGATGCATCTTCCTTAAGCTGGAGCACGAGACTGAAAGGCTTCATTGCTTGTTTTGCTATTGGAGTCCTGTGTTCTATTCTGGTAAGATGGTTCTGTCTTTTCTACCTCATCAAGTTTCTGTAAAATAAAGTTTGGATTTCTTCTATAATATGTTCCATGATGCAAGATAACCTATTTGTAGGTCATCCCATTCATTTTTTATACTGCTGTATATTTTATCTAGGAATATGCTAACCAAAGTAGTACGCAAGGTTTGAGTCCATATAGAAAAAATATTTTGACTGATCTATTCCTGTTACATTTTTACATTAGTTCAAACAAATGGAGCCTATGTAGATTAGAGGGTCTCTATTCCCATATGTGTCCATATGTTTGCAACCTTGGTTTAATTTTAATGCAGAATTATTCCATGGTGGGTTTCCCTTAGGTCAGTGATGGCGAATGTTTTAGAGACTTGAGTATCCAAACTGCAAGCCAAAACCCACTTATTTATCACAAAGTGCCACGTCCCTCTGGCTTTCTAGTAACGAACTCTGTGCTGTGGCAGTGGTGTGCATGCATGTGCCATGGGTTCGCCACCACTGCCTTAGGTGAAAGTACTTCCACTGTCTTAAGTTTGTGTACACAATTTTCACTGACCTCTTTGTCTTTCACCTATTACCTCTGTTCTATTGCAGAGGGGCCCTCAGAATTAGTTTTGTTGAAGGGCCGTGAGGTATGGGAGAAGAAGTGGGTGGCTCAACATATGCAAACAGAAGTACTTTCTTCTAAGACAGAGTTGGGGACTCAACAGCCTCTTGAGTATTGGTGGACCCGGTACTCTTGTCATCCCTCACCATTAGCAAAGCAAAAGCAGCTTCATTTATATACCGCTTCATATCGCACATGGGATGTCTAAGCGGTTTACAACTGTGAGCTGATTGCCCCCCAACAAGCTGGGTACTCATTTTAGCGACCTCGGAAGGATGCAGGCCTGAG